AAAAATGTTTGGGACAAAAATTCTAGAGAAATTAATTCTCTACGATACTCGTAATGAATTCAATTGGCATTAAACCGATAGGGAGCGTTACATTTGCGATTTTGCTGGCGCTTGATCCTTGATATCACTTCAGACGCGGACACGAGACCCAATGAGAGTTTTGCGGCAACTTTTATATGGCTTAGTTGAGTCCTTTTTATTAAGTACTTATATGACTCATCAAACGGACTTGATGTACCAAAAACCACCTAAAAAAACTTGCATAATAAAAGAAATAGTAAAAGATTAAACATGTTAAAAACTACGAATGATTTTTTGATATTCTCAGCCATTGCAATGTAAAATCGATTTTTGCTTACTACTCTTATCGTTTATCTAAATTTGACAACTTTTGTGTTATTTCAGTACGAGTCTTTGGTTCGATCAATTGTATCAGGCTTTCAATAGTGCGTACACTTTCATTTGTCTGATTATTTTGTGCGAAAAGATTCCCCATTTCTTCGAAAACAATGAACTGGTGGGCATAATACTAACATACGGAGAGTGCCATCAAAATGCAGCCGCAGCATGCGGGTTGCATGCGGAAATGTTTCCATCAAGAAAACATCCGGCCTCTCGGATATTTGTTTATTAGACTTCGTGGCACAGAATATTTAAAAGAACGACGAGGTCCCGCTAGAAGACTTGCTCAACCTGAAATGTTACAAATTGAGGAAGGCACTTTAAAAATGGTCGAAGACCACCCAACTATGAGGACTAGAGCACAATTTCCACAACAACCACTTTTTAAACAATTTTTAATAATGTAAGCTAACTCTGTTATTACGCAACTTTTATATAGTTGATTTTTGGTATATCAGCTTCTTTTGACGCGTCCCACAAGCTGTTAGAATAAATGACTCAACTTTGCAAACACCCTGTATAATTGGGCTGTTTCAGGTGCTTTGAGTGCAGCGAGAGATTTTCACAGATTTACATCTATCAATAAATAAGAAATTTCATAGTGGGTGTGCTATCCGTTTCTATAGAAATAAGCAGTTAGGTCGATATTCAGAAATTCCAGAACATGGGCGCTTGTTACGGACTAGGAATCTGACGTCTGTCTGACTTTCATAGCAGATCGATCATCGACTTCACGTCGTCGCGAGTTACAGTGAAAGAATTCTGGAGATTAAACAGGAAGAAATACAAGGTGAACCTGAGGGTGTGCGGGGTGAAGGGAAGGAACAAGAAGAAAGCCACTTCGGAGGCAAGTTCGAGTTTTGTTAGAATACGATTCTAATTTTTTTTAAAATCATTGTCAAAAGCTACAGCGAGTATAAAATTCGTGCCTGCGATTCTCCTCTGGTATAAGAAAGTTTGATTGTATAAGCCATATATTCAAACATCACAGCATTCTAAATTCTAGTATACAAAGTTCTTCCTCGTGAACAAAAAGCCAAAATTCCTTTTAGAATCTTACTACAGAAAAAATGATGATTCCATCTTTACCTTATCTAATTACTTTTTCAGTTTTTCAGAGTTTATACAGGGTGATCTGTAACGCAAGATAAGCGATTTTTAAGAATTTTCAAACAGAACGCATTGCATATTTTCTCATGTTTTGATGTACATATTTGAAGGTCTGTACCCCCGGTTTCTGAGCTGCAGATAACCATTTTCTAAGTCAGACATCAATATAAATGAGAAAATCACATTAAGTTTCAAAAGTAATGGCAGATCATGAGAATTGGCTTATTTTCGTTCTAAATTATTCAAATCTGCTCAACCTCATGCAAAAAAGTAGAAAAGTCAAAAAGGGGTTTTTAGCAGCTCAAAAACGTGTCATACAAATCCCTTGAAACCCCATATCAGAAAAAGCTTGTCAAAAATGAAATCAAATATTGTGAAAACATACAGGGTGTTTCATTTGAAAAAAAAATTGAAAATTAATTGATTTTGAGTTATTGACCACCGTATTGAAACTGTCAAAATGCTGAAAACGACGTAGGCAGGGAGTAAATATGGGACTATACATTTTTTCTGACAAAAAACATTGTGGTTGTCAAAGTTGAGCGTTTTTTCTATGGATTGTCTATTCTAACCATTGAAAATCAAACCCCATGGAATGTTATATCAAACAGCTTCGTATGAAAGCCCATCTAAATTAGTAATGTACATGTATATTTTCATCAGAAAATGTATATTTGGGTTACTTCGCAGCTATAAACGACCCTATAGGAATAAAGATATTTTCCAAATTAGGAGCATACTGTTAGCTACTATTCATACTCGTATGTTCAGCTTTTTCAGATACCATGCGTAATAGCGGAGCTATCGGCCAAGGACACACTGAAAATTCACCCTGTATATTCATATTGTGGGTTCGGTACATAATACGTTTGTTCGTACAGTGGTGACTGTGTCTGGGATATGGCCATGTGAATTCTGTCTACATAGCGATCTTGGGCATGATGACTCTAGGGTGGTGACAGCTGGACGATATTATCTAATAGTTGTTTAATGTCTATTTAGTTTATTTATACTAAGTGACATATAAATCCGAACACCCAGTTTAAATAGTTTTATTTTAATAAAATTTTGTACTTAATGAAGCATAATAAGTAAATGATAAAAATTTCAAAATGATTGCACTGCTTTAAAGCCCTTTGACCTTTAATAATGTGTGGATGCACCCTGATGTGCTACGCATTCTCCAACGCGCCTAGGCATGCTTCTGATCAGGTGGTCAATATCGTCCTGTGGTATCTCATTCCAGGCAACCACCACCTCCTCTCGAAGTGCTTCTAGAGTCTGAGGAGGACGTTGCAAATTGAGCAATCTCCTTCCCATCATATCCCACACGTGCTCAATTGGGGATAAGTCGGGAGATCTTGGTGGCCATGGTAACAATGTGACATCATTATGTTGAAAGAAGTCTATTGTGACTCTTGCAACATGTGGTCGGGCATTACCTTGTTGGAAAGTTGGATCTGCCAGGGTGTCAAGATAGGGTAAAAGATGGGGTTCTAGAACTTCGTGGATATAACGCTGCGCGTTCATGTTACCTCTGATGAAGATTAAAGGTGACCTGGAACCATGAGCTATAGCACCCCAAACCATAATTCCAACAGTGTGATGAACATGTCTTTCAACAAAAAACTGTGGATTCCTCCTTTCACCTCGTCGCCTTCTAACCCTGGCACGACCATCGTGCATGCCTAAACAAAATGGAGACTCGTCACTAAAGACAATACTGTTCCATTCCTGATCCTAGAGTGACCGTTGTCTGCACCACTCAAGGCGATTGCGTCGGTGTTCTCGAGTTAAAGGGAGGACCCAGTGTGGCCGGTATGAAAACAAGCCAAAACTTCTCATTCGTCGGTAAACACTTCGCATGCCAATAGGTCTTCCGTGTTCTGCAAACCATTCATTTGCAGTGGACCTGGTAGTGGAGAAACGGTCCCTTAAGGCCAATAATCTTGTTCTACGGCGGCGTCCAGTGCCCCTTGCTCTTTGCGTACGGCCTTCTCGAAGCCATGCCTGACAACACCTAACCACAGTGTCTACACCTCTTTGCCATCTAACTGCAATTGCCCGAAAAGAAAGTCCAGCTTCCCGAAGTCCCACTATACGGCCCCTATCAAACTCACTAAGTTGACGAAATCGTTCAGGTCTCCGTACTCTAGGCATCGTAACCGATCGTAAAGGATGTTAAGAACCAAAATCCGCCAACGTTGATTCTTTCCTGCGGCTTAAATATTCATTTTTAGAGCGTTAGTGAATTAAAAAAAAAGCAGTATAAAAACCGGAATGTCCAACTGATAAGGCTGAAAATTTTTTCACTTGTTATTTACAGTAAGATAAATACATTCACCAACTTTAATTAAAATAAAACCATTTAAACTGGGTGTTCGGATTTATATGTCACTTAGTATACTATCCATTTCGTCACTACTTCGTGGCTCAAATTTGCATTGGTTATAGACTGTTCACAGACGCACACTTAATCAAAGACAGTATTATCCTCCTGACTATCCTGATCCATCCTTGTAAGGATACGTTTTGAAAAGCTTCAGAATTATCCAAGGTATCTCACTACTGACCTGGCTATCAAGGTTGTTTTTTATAGACATCCGCATTTTTTATCACATATTGGGTGGTTTGGGTGTTGTCGGGATTATTTACGGTCTCGTATACTTTGTCTGACGAACAAGGAAATATGTCAACCCATATCTCGACCGCTTCGTTAGATAAAAAGGGATTCTCCTAGTTCTGTCACATAAACGCAGCTGAGCAGGTATCTAAAAAGAATTATTGGCACGTCTCTGTTCGTCATTGTCGGTCAGAGCGGTTCGTTGGACCTTGGTCTTCGTTGACGTCCTGCGGGTCAGAACGTCTGTCAGGTCTGGTTGGCCAGATACCAGAGAAAGTTAAATAGAAGGAGAGAGAAGACTAGAGCATTTTGATTTAAAAGAAACAGCCAAAAGCTATTCTTCAGAAGACTTGAAATGAAACTTAACTTAAATTGTTTAATTTCCAACTCATCATGCTTACGAAAAATTCGTTTAGCAGCTTAAGCGTTTTCAAATAAATAGATAAATTAATATGCTTTATCGTCTGAAGATTACGATCATTCTTAATGACAAAGCTGACATATGTAAATTTTTAGACCATAACAAGTCTTTCACAATTGATCCTGTTTTACTCTAATATTCTAACTTTTTGAATGTTTCAAATTTTTCAAAATTCAGTTCAGGGCAAGTCAAAATTTATACAGGGTGTTTCACAACTTATCCGACAAATTGTAACCACATATGCACTGTTACGATAAAAAAAAATTAATAAGCTTTGCGCCTTAAGGCGCAACGAAGAGTAGTAGTAGTTATAACTTTGAGATATACAAATAACGGCCTGTATGCAGCTCTAGGACTGCTTTATAGAGGTGGTGTACATACCTTCGATTGTTACCGCTATGTAACTAGGGCTTTAGAACTTCTGTCAATTATACTTTGAAGCAGATCACCAAGAATCTGGGGAACGTCGTCCTGCGATTGTAATGGATTGCCCAGACTTGAGCACCTTGAGAACCTCGGATTTCTACAAGACTTGCAACCTCCCTAAAAGGTTCGACTATCCCTCCTGGTTTTATGGGTATGGTATACAGAAGTCGCCACAAGAACACCCATTCTACAGGACCACGTCTAGTGACTACGGCAGGTAAAAAAGTAACATCTACGAGCTCCTTCCCACTTCAGTTGGCCCAACTATTGAAATCTTAGTTTTTTGCTTATCAAACACAAATAATAAAAATGCAACAGGGTGTTATAGGTTTAAAATATTAACAATGAATGATAATATACAGTAGAAAACACCAACTTTATCACTCCCTAATCAAATTTGCAGCATAAAAATAACACAGGTTGCAATTACAGCATATCAACCTATTTTCATTTCAATGCAAAATAAGTCTATAACGCATAGGTGGCTGTGAAAAATAAAAGCCATGACAATTGTTTTTATTAATCACAGCTGACAGAATACGTTTAAAATAGTTTATCGGTTTGCAAAATGGGTAGAGAAAAGGTTATTGGTGAGAAAATTCGATTACTGATAATTAAATCTTTTAATTCTGGGAAATCAAACTCAGAAATTGCAACTTTGTCAGACTTATCGCGGTACAGTGTGAGAAATATTGTTAGAAGATATAACGTAACTGGTTCAGTTAATATTAAGCCACGATATGTGAAAAAAAGTAATATCACAAATGCCGACCGAAGAGCATTAAGAAGAATACTCGTGAAAAACAGGCGTGTCAATTATTTACAATTAAGTGCTTTGTGGAGTGACGCTGTTGGAAGGAGAATATCGAGGCCCACAACTCATAAAGAGGCCCACAAACTGGGATTTTGCACTTGCAAGGTATGTTTTCTTATAAAAAAAGTGAAGTAAAAACTCTAAAGTTGCACAACTTTTTTATAGGCCAAAAAAAAAGCCACTATTAACTCCACTGCAAAAGAAAAATTGGCTTAGATGGGCTAAAGAACATAGACATTGGACACCTCAACAATGGTGTGCAATACAATGGAGTGATGCGGCCCGATTCGAAGTTTGTGTTGGTGACAGTCGCAGTAGAGTTATTCGCAAAAAAATTAAGCATTCCATGTTGACTGTCTGATGAGAAAAGTCAAATTTCCAGCATCCATTATGGTGTGGGGCAGTATGTCATCAAAACGAATAGGAAAACTTCATTTTATTGATGGAAATGTGGATACAAACAAATATTTGGTAATTTTAGAAGAATCGATTTTATCAGTGATGGAAGAATGTTTGACATCCGGCCAAGATTTTGTATTTCAGCAAGATGGTGCAGCGTGCCATACCTCAAAAAAAGCTATAAAATGGATGGAAGAAAATAATGTACCACTTTTGAAATGGGTTTCTAGCAGTCCAGATCTGTCACCTATTGAAACTTTGTGGCACGAGATGAAAAAGGTTCTACGACCACATCCTGCTCGTACAATCATCGAACTGAGACAAAAGCTTTAAGAAATGTGGGATTGTTTTACACCAGATTTTTGCCAAAACTTGGTTAACACTATGCCCCAAAGAATTTCAGCGGTAATAAAAAATAAGGGTGATGTTACCCAATGGTAATCTTTCAATTGTTGCTTTGTTAACATCGCGCATTTATTCGCACATTGCTTATTTGTTCAGATGTTCTATTAGTTATGGGTCTATGTCAAATATGTATTTTTTACGAATAGAGTGTATCTAAAATGTTTTTGAGAAAATAAATTGTTTTAGAAGTAAGTAGTTTCGTCATTATAAAGGCATATTTTGGTACAAATCTTGAAATAGGCCAACTGAAGTGGGAAGGGGCTTAAACTTCCTATAAACGAAATGGAACAACATCGTTGAGCGAAATGGAAAGGGAACAAAATATTTGGTGCGAATTTGTCAATGTGGGTCGTTACAGAAATAAAGTCTAACATCTATTCTTTTTTAGTAAAAATTATGTACAAAAACGATATCTGCTTTTTAAATTGGTAGTTAATTGCTAGTGAAATACGATTGAGATCTTTTTTCAAACAAAATATTCACATACATTTTCAGATGCTTAAGTCGATCAAAAAATTCTCAAGTTATTACTAGGAAATCGGTAAGATGAAGCAATTCTGTATTCCCTTTCAATATCTATTCTCTTCTATCTTATTTCATGGACAATACCTACTTTGACAAGATAAAGAGCCAGAATGAATTTCAAACCACAGAATTTAGTTGACTTTATAATAAAATAGCATTATTTCCTAAAATCTGATCTATTGTTAAGGATCGTCATACAGTTCCACGTGAGAGATTATCCAATTAAAAGGATATTGCTCCGTGTTAAATGAAAAAATTATGCTTCTCTGGCCTAAGCTGTTACTTTTATATTCCTTAAAATCCGTGGTTTTGCCTTCATTTCACTTAAGTCTCTGCAATAGTCAAGATCATTCCTCCTCAATTCCAACGATATCGTACTTTCAGAAGATCTGTATTGACGAACTAGTCTCCTTGTTGACATTCCAACCTGGTTTTTTGCTCTTTTCACCATTCTGTTTGACCTCTGTGCAGTGGTCTTCAACTTTTTGAGTTAATTGGTTATGCGTGAAATGTTTTCATTCTGGAATATTCGACAGATTTAAGCCTTGGGTACTCGCTCAAACACCTTGTAGATACTTTTCCTTATTTCTAATCTATACGTTTTGAAGCGAAAATAATAAATGTCAACCGACAGTAAAGTAAGTAAGCAAACTTTTGTTTCCAAGGGTAACTTGATGATATTATTTTGTTTGTCAAAATTCAAGCCAATGAGAACTTTTAAGGCATACGTCATTAAATAAGTGACATATATCGCCACTATAATAAAGGTGCCGTTTTCTCAGTGTATCTAACCGTTGGACATTTCTTTGAATTCCAGACACCCGCCGACGATCCACAGCGTTCCGACCTCCTTTTTCCCGAACAATCAGGAATTCAGCAAGGCGCTGGCCAAAACGGGAATGTACAGAAATTATTCCCTCAACACCGGCCTTGATCCTCACATCTAATGAATACCTTTCGTTTCATCCCGTCCTATGTAATGAAATATCATCCGCCGTATGCTTTCGTGAAAAGTCAATAGATGATGGACGGTAACTGTGTGTTTCATTCGTTAACAATGGAAAACCTTTGAGCAACGCAATCGAACATCAGTGGACCACAAAGAAGACTTGTTCTTTGTTCATGTAAAATTTTTGAAAATGCTTATTTTCTTGTTCAGGATGCGCCACAAGCATATTGTACAAATCTCATTACAGTATCATCAAAAAGCTGCTCACAACGTTGAAATCCTTGGAGTGGAAAATTGCTCAATTCGGGTTGAAATGGCAAAAATATAATCATTTAACATATTTCTCTTAAAGGATAAAAGGCACCATAAAAATATCCCATACAAAAATTGTGGAGAATGCAATTATCTATAAAAGTTGTTGTCAAAACCTTAATCCTGAAAGATTGAGGGTGGAATATGAAGAAATAAAACGGCGAAAATTACAAAGAACTTGTTGTGAAGACAATGTGGAATACCGTTACGAAAAATGAAAGAGATGCATTTTATGAATAATCGTTACTCATGAAATAGCGAAATATCATTGCCTGTGAAACAAATCGAAAAAACCAAGTAAAATAATATTTTTCTAACAAAACTGTGACCAGCACTCCTGCTTGTTAAAATATTACTTAGTAACGTTTTTTTTTTTCAGAAAAATTAGATGACCTTATGATATTACTTATGAAAATCACATGTACCTGGAGATAGCGCTTAAAGTGACCGCAGTTGTCCTTTTGATTAATGTTTTAAGTGATCCAAGATCCCAAGAATTTGATACTTGAACTGATATCGGCCAGGAAATCAAATCTGCATGAAAAAGGTTTTAGATAAAGTTGTATTTCAGAAGGAAAAATAAGCAGCAGAAGGAAAAAAAAACAGAAAAAGATGGTTGTGCAATTTAGCAAACAATTTGGAAAAGCGAAAAAAATAATACAGCTAAAAGTAGAATAAAAAAGACCTGATAAAAAATAACTCTTTGTAACTAGAAATAGAATAATGATAATATTAAGCAATGTTTTCAACTAATAATAATAATAATAATAATATTTATTCACTCAATGTACAAAGATAACAAACAATATGAATAAATAAATATAAAATCAAAACAGGCCCAATAGAAGGCATCGCCTGTACATGGACCAATAATTTAAGTTGAAACTGTAGAATGCAAATGACAAAAAAGGACAAAAATTAGCTACAGTAGATTATGTATTTAGTTGATGTCCGTATTTATGAGTTTATGAATTTCAGTCTTAGATATAGAATGTAGCCACTTTTTTTAAATTTCTTTTGAAACAATTTCCGAAACGTAAATATTTTAAGTCTTTAGGTATAATTTCATAAAATTTAGGCGCTAAATAGAGATATGATCGCTGCATTATAGATTTATGCGGTTGAGGAACTACTGTGCCACGAATTTTGTACCTGGTATAATGATTATGTTTAATTTTTTGGTCGGTGTTTACAAATTTATGGTAGTGAGTGATACTGTGTAAGAAATAAAGCTGTCTTATATATCATACATTCGAACATCTGCGTATAATTTTTCAGTGGGATAAAGTTTCGGTTTTTTAAATATCATTTTTAGAATACTTTTTTGAAAAACATCTAAATTATAGATATGTGAGGAACATGCAGCTCCCCATGCTAATATACGATATGTGAGATGAGGCTCAATCAGTGCATGGTATAATGTTCGAAGATATTTTTCTGTCAATATATTCCCAAGGTATTTAATTTTGTAGGATACAAATCTAACTTTCTTTAACTCTTTTAAGTACGGTGGATGACATATTAAACCACTTTTTTCTAGACCTTGAAGGTACTGTGGAGCAATATATATACCACCTAAACAAAATTATTTATTGAATAGGGACACCGGTTTAAACCCCGTACCGCTAATGGAGGCGTCTAATAGGAGTATAAAGAATCAGCTGACACGATTGTTTTTCATATTTGGCATTGAGGTTAGAGTCTGTTACAATCAATGTGAGTTCTTGCACCACGTGTCGTTAGTAGCCGCCCTGACAAGTATAAATTAGCTATTTTTACTGGTTTTTCTTTGCAAAAATCAAGTGAGACGTATTCAGCAGAAACTATTTAAGGTAGGGCAATATAGTTTTTGAATATAAATGCTTCTTATATATTGTCATTTTGGTTTATTTTCTAGTGTTCATAAATTGTACCACCGTACCATGAGTAAAATGAATCGCCAAGAACCTCTTACCTTCAAATTAGTTGATATGACTGAGGACGAACTTTATGACGAAATTGCTCATATAGGTGATGATTTTGCTTCAATTCCTTCTGATGGTGGTTCTCATAATGACAGTGACGCTGAAGAAGAGACGGGAGATTTGCAAGAAGATATGCATGTAGATGTGTTAGAAAATAACTCTGGTGATGAAATTATAGTTTCTGGTTCGGATATCGAATCGCCTGATGAATGGGACTCTGATGATCTAGTGCCATTAGCGACATTGGCTCAAAAATGTAAAAATCAAAGACCAGTTTCATGGAGTAATCTTACAAGTAATATGAAACTGCCTGCAGATTTTGTAAGTGATTCTGGCCTACCTCGTTCCATTCAAGATCGTGAAACACTCAATCCTTATGAAGCGTTCAATTTGCTTTTCACTGACGATATTTTAAATCACATTGTTTTTCAAACAAATCTTTATGCAGAGCAGCGATATCAAGATACAGGAAAACCCTACAATAAAACAGATATCACAGAAATCAAAACATTTCTAGGTATAAACCTTCTTTTCGGCATAAAGAAATATCCAAGTTACAGAGACCACTGGAGTACATCTGCTGACCTTCACGATCCATATATAAGCAAATTAATGACAGTACATAGATTTGGTTGGCTTCTCACTCACATCCATCTAAATGATAACAGCACAATACCAGAACGCGGCTCAGACCGTTACGACAAACTTTATAAAGTGCAGCCGTTATTGCAATTTTTATTAGAGAATTTTCAATCATGCTTACAACCACATGAACATCTTGCTGTAGATGAAGCTATGATTAAATTTAAAGGTCGCTCCTCCCTAAAACAATATTTACCCAAAAAGCCTATCAAAAGAGGTTACAAAGTATGGGTTCTTGCCGACAAAACCGGGTATTGTTGGAACTTTGAGATATATACTGGAAAGGTTGGAAATGAGACAGAGAAGAATTTAGGAGCCAGACTTGTCAAAAGTTTGACTGCCCAGGTTATAAATAAAAATCATCGAATATATTTCGATAACTTTTTTTCATCAGTAAAGCTTATGCAAGATCTTCTTGATTTAAAATTATTTGCTACTGCAACAGTAAATCCTAACCGGAAAGATTTGCCCAAATTTAGTCCTGACAAATCTTTAAAAAGAGGGCAATATGAGTGGCACACAAGTGATATTGGAGTGACCGCAGTAAAATGGCGCGATAAAAGAGCTGTCCACTTACTATCTAATTATCACAATCCTACAATAATTACAGAAGTCAGAAGGAAGGAAAAGGACGGCACTGTAGTTCAAATACCATGCCCTGCTTTACTTACCGACTATAATAAAAACATGAACTTCGTTGATAAGTTTGATCAAAAGAGAGGATCCTATGGGATTGACCGGAAAAGCCATAAATGGTGGCACCGAATATTTTTTTTCTTCTTGGATGCAGCTGTAGTGAATGCTTTTATTATATATCAACTCCATAATGACGGAATTTCTCCAAAACTAACTCTAAAAGATTTTCGAAGACAAATTTCTCAACATCTGGTAGCCAAATCACTTGTGCAAAAAATAACACAACCCATGGAGCTTTCCACAACGCTGAAAAAACATAAACCTTCAGTACCAGAAGCTGTAAGATTAACAGAAAGCTCACATCAACCGATGAGAACCAGCTGTCGGAGATGTGCCTTTTGTAGCACGAAGAAAAAAGACATCCGAACCAATTGGCAATGTAATGTTTGTAATGTTCCTCTATGCTTAGGGAAAACAAGAAGCTGTTTCCAGAGTTATCACAGAAAATAATTTCCATTCAAGCGGTATTCGAAACAAGTTTCTCCCGGTTCTTTTTTTTCAATTCACGGCGCTACCATTTATGTATTTTATTTTATGTATGGTGGTGGAAAAAATAAACCACCCTGTATTTTTTTTCTAAACAATTTTTTTTTTGATATTGAGTAAAATTTACGTTAAATGTAGTGCCCTCATTCCAAACATGTAATCATTTTTCAAAAGTTTAATAAAAATTTTTCTTGTACCTTTCTGGTTTTATTTTCAAGGCAATTCCTGTACCTGAAAGAGTTAAAATATAATTGACATGGATGTCCCATCGTAAGTGAGGATCCAAGACCACTCCAAGGTATTTTATGTTGGGCACTCTATTAATTTGCATTTTTTGATCATTAATGTTGAAGGAGAAATTTGTGTAATTTGGCAGATGTCTAGCATAAGATCCAAATGATAAAAAATGTGTTTTAGAGTAGTTAATGCTTAATTTTCTACTGTTAAACCACCGAATAATTTTGATAAAATCATTTTCAATTACATTTTTCAGATCAGACCAGTCAGTATCTTCATATAATATTGCAGTATCATCTGCAAAACTAGTTATTTTGCCAACACAATTAATCTGGAAAATATCATTTAAATATAAATTGAATAACAGCGGACCTAAGACAGTTCCTTGTGGGACACCACACTTAATATACATTTCTTTACTAAATGATCCTGATATCTGCACAGATTGTGGGCGATTTGACAAATAATTTTCGATCAGTGAGTACGCGTTTCCTCTAAAACCAATTCTCTCCAATGCTTCTAATAATAATTTGTGATTAACTGTGTCGAAAGCTTTCTTTAAATCAACAAAAATGCGGATTGAAGGGATTCTGTTATCAATATTTTGATGTATTTGATTTACAATTTTAGTTATTGCGTCCGATGTAGCCTTCCCTTCTGTAAATGCATATTGATTTTCACTTAAAATTTTGAATTAGAATTAGTGCATGATATTGAAAATAAGGATCGGGCCAGTTGGTCATTGTCCAGTGCCAATAACAGAATAAAGGAGCAGAATCAAATACCCGTTCTTCAGGTAGATAAAACAATTTTTTGCAAAGTTGCGCCTTTTGGCATAAGCTACAGCTGCATTAAAGCGATCAACTATCGAGCCCTTAGCAAACATAGCAAAGCATTCCCTCCGATTCTTTGCCACTACCTGCGTTATCCAATATACGTGCCATCTCCGTGACCTTTTTGATCTCTCTGCAGCCTCGTGGCGGTCCAGACTGATGGATGGCCTCCACATTTAACCCCCGCTGGCTCCTATTTACCGCATTCTAGCCACCAGTCGAGCTCTAAATTCGCCCCTATGTGACCTACAACGATTCCTTCCCGTTAAATTAACCGTCTATGAGCACGTCTGGCTTATTAGACAGCCAGATGAATGGACAAAGGTGATATAACGGAATTAAGGCGTACGAAAATAGTATGTTACATAACGGGGGACGGAATCCTCCTCCCCGTCAGCGTTTCCTCTCATACAGCTATCCGAAAAAGGTTAACTGTTTGGTTTTTTGAGAGTGTCCTCGATGTCACCTTGAAATGACCTGTAAATCGCCGATAGAGACAAACTAATCCCGGTTTTGTAGCCAGCGATGCAAAAAACTCGGTTGTACGTTATGTGTGAGTGCCGTAGACACTGTTCTTTGAAACATTTTAGGTTTTCTGGATCACTTTGTGGACATATGCTCAATAATCTACACGAAATTTAACATTTAACTGACACTGTAAATGTACGAAAACTGAACGCTTCTGTATCACCAAACAATACAAGTTATGGAATCCTGATGATTACCATTTCAACGGTACGGCTAACACCGTCCCGATGCCCTTGTGATTAGCGCCGTCCATCCGGTTTCTAGTTACAGCGTTAGGTGTTATCTTTGTGAGAACATTCCTGACTTTGCATTTTGCTATATTTTACTTATAAACTGAATATGAAATGTAACTAGCGTTGTTGTCATCCTGTTTTCATCCAATAAAGTTCCTGCTATAGTTTCGAACCGAAACCACACTGAGTTTCATTTCTGGCGCTGCGAACAGGATCCCAGGCTTGGTTTCTGTCACCATTGTGAGAAATATCTAATAAACGAGCTGCCCAGCGGTGTCTCCGAGAAAGCCAAAGAGTGAGTTCCTGAGAAAACTGAAGTTAGTACCAGCGAAAGCCAAGAGTATCAGACGTCGGGAAGGCCCTCCTGTTCTACTTGGACTCTCCGAGTGCCAATATCAAGTAAGAATTTCTATTCTCTTACTGGGAATTCTACCAGAAACTGTCCAGAACCATTGATTTGGAATCGAAGACAAGATGAGCAGCCCCTGGATGAAGCAACAATTGATGTTACTGTCCTTGTAAGTAGTTAAGAATTACTATTAAGAAGATTTTGCAACTAAGAAGATTTAATACGTAACCATAAGAAGAATTTATCAAAAAAACTCATTTCTACAGAGAAGATTTTTTTTGAAGAATCGAAGTTTGCGTTTTTCAATTGAAATCTAATTTTGTGCATAGCTTTAAGTTTTGTTTTCACCTATTTTTTACTCATTTTTATCCTGCATCTTTTATACATTTTATTTTATGCCTTTTGTTAATCATTTTGTGCCTACCGAAAGAGAAAGATCTCCTATAAGAATCGCTACTTCAAATCAACAGAATGTCGTTCAGCATGACAATCCTCAATTAATTTTTAACATGCTAAAAGATTCAATTCCTATATTTGATGGCTATTCAAACAATCCTTCTACATTTTTAAGAAAGTCTACAGAATTTTATAACGCTTTACCTATTTCCTATAAAGGACATGCTTTAACATTTATTAAGTCTAGATTACAAGGTGAACCTGCCGAATTTACAGAACAAACTAATCCTATTACTATTGAACATCTTTCTGCTATTTTAACCACTAGATTTAAAGATTACCAAACTGAAGAAAATTTGACTCATCAACTTTTTGATATTCATTCCCCAGACTATAGCGTTTTACATTCAGAAATTTGTAACAAACTTCATGAATTACGAGAATTTGCTCGATTAAATTATCCTCCAGAAATTGCCCCAGCAATGATTGCTAGATATGAACAGATGGCTTTAACCTCCTTTTTATGCGGAATCAATTCCAAATATCATTGAGTTGCATTACAACCACCCCCTAAAAATATAGATGAAGCTAAGAGACGGTGCCAAGAACACGACAACCTTTTGCAAACCAAACAATATAAGGAGTTTCTCGTCACTAAGTCTAAGCCTCAGACAAATAAACCTGTGACCGCCAATGCAGTCATATAGACCTAACTTTCCCAATTTTGCTAATTCCTCTCATAATCTCTGTATTAAAAGGCCCTATTTACATGACCCCCCATGACGCTACTAGACGTCCAAAGAATTTACCCAAATATCAAAAGCACGAAACCTACAAGCAAAATGGAACCCAAATTCAGATAAAAGATCGGAAACATATGATTAAAAAGATTAAACCACCTCGCATTGTTTCAGATGTGGGACGATCACCATAGCTGTCCACATAGCCTCTGAACATTATTTGCAACCCATACAACAGATACGTTTAGGTAATGCAAGAAATATTCATCACTATCACAAAGTCTATTTCTCCATTAACCTCAATGATATTTCACATACCATGCAAATGTTTTCTTACCTAATTAAATTACATAATAAAATTCCCACCAGCTTAGATTTTAAATTTATACGAAGATACTTATTCCAAGTTCGAAACTTTAACACACCATAAAATCAAACGCGGACTTATAAACGGTTTAGGTTCTATAATTCGTTTTATTTCTGGCAACCTTGATCAAAACGATTTAGATCTTATTTTGAAAAATCAGAACGTTTTACGAAATAACCAGAATAGCTTGCTTGAAAGTCATCAGAAAACTATCACGTTTTGCAAATCTCTTCAAGAAACTTTTGAAAATAATAATAGAAGAATTCAGTCAATTATTATTCATAATGTCCAAACTATTGAACGTCTTTGTTATCACACAAGACGATCCATCAGATCTCAATTATTACAAATTTGCAACGATTTAATTCATATCTAAATTCACTTTTATTAGTTCTACAATTGAACAAGCAAACAGGTCTCAACACCTTACAATTATCTCATCATCAGATTACCTTACTTATTGAACATTTAATATCCATTTATAAAGACGAAGAATTATTGTCATTCGACAAAATACATTTATTTGAGATTTATGATCCTTCCCTTTTATCACTTATACTTTTAGAAAACCAACTTATTTTTGTAGTTGAGTTTCCCATTTTAGATGTTAGAACTTATTCCTTATTCAAGTTATTTTCAATCACAGTCAAAAAAGAATTAGTAAAATTACCAGGTGATTATATTTTATACATTGAAAAGTATTATTATTGCAAAAATTTTATAGAGTTAAGCAATCAGCTGTATGTCTGCACGAATACTTTCCAGTCGCCATGTCAACCACTTAAGTTAGACACTTGTGAGTCTGAAAGTCTAGTAAACTACACGCGAATCCTAGAATTAAGTAAGAACAATTATGTAATCGACACTAACGTTTTAACAAAAATCAAGGATTGTAAAGGAATCCATCATATTCATTTTACTACTCACATAATTTTAGAATGTCATACATTTATTAATGATCAAATATTAAAATTTGACTCTAATTATGAAATTGAATTAGAATTATCCTTCAGAGGTGACAACGATAAATATTCATTTAAGAAAACAAACACTTCACTCGAATCTTATTTCGAAAAAAATCTCACTTCACTTCAAGTTCACTTTGAATATTTACAGTTTCATTCTACTATAAGTTATCCTGTTATTTTTACTGCTGTAATTATTTTATTGGTTTTATTTATAACAATTTTTGTTAGATACCGTTATGTAAAGGATACTAAAACTCCACCTCAAAGTAGTGATATTTAAGAAACTTCTCCTTCAAATTAAAAGTTCAAATCATTTTTTGAGATTGGAGACCAATCTTTCCGAGGAGGGAGGAGTTATGGAATCCTGATGATTACCATTTCAACGGTACGGCTAACACCGTCCCGATGCCCTTGTGATTAGCGCCGTCCATTCGGTTTCTAGTTACCGCGTTAGGTGTTATCTTTGTGAGAACATTCCTGACTTTGCATTTTGCTATATTTTACTTCTTATAAACTGAATATGAAATGTAACTAGCGTTGTTGTCATCCTGTTTTCATCCAATAAAGTTCCTGCTATAGTTTCGAACCGAAACCACACTGAGTTTCATTTCTTACACGCTGTCACCACAAAAACTTAACAGAAAAACCTGACGATTTTATCATGTGTTGTTCATGGCAAGATAAATCAATATCTGAAAAACACTTGAATTCTAATAAACATACGTAGGGGTTTAGCTTTTTTGTCTCTCAGTATAGTATTGAGTTCTCAGGCAGGTGTGCATTATTTTAAAAAATGTGCCGGCCGGTCTGACATTCGCAGCGCAAATGGGAAAATAATATACATTGCCTCCATTGAGTGTACGGTAATGTGAGAGCCCATAAGCTACGTAGATGGTTAAATGCGGGCTACTTAGGATCCATTTGCATTTTCCTTAATTACACTCTACATTCAGCGTTAATTACAGCTCACCTACTTTCAACGACATTTTTCCAGGAGAATCAAGATTAACTCCGCTGCTTTGTCTCAAAACATTACATTTCCTAATTTACTTCAAGATGATGTCCCATTATGTTGCAGCGGTAATTGTTCCTACTTCTGGAATTGCTATCTTTTGACACAATTCAGGCCTCGCTGAATTAGTTTATTAGGTAATTATGGGCTATTAACGTGACTGGTGTGCCAACTTGTGGCACGGTCCCCTGAGGAAACGTTTCAAATTAATCTTTCGTACCTTGTTTTTAGTGAATCTCACATCGTTGTCCTTGAAGCCCACATCGTTGTCCTTGATGTTACAATAGCTTCAGATTATCTGTGACATTTTATCTATACTTTCCAAATTATTGGAAAAGGCAATGTATACACAAAAATACTACCATCTAGACAATGCGGTTTCCGGAAGGGATATAATACTGCTGCAGCATATTGTCAGGGGTTGGGATAACCACCGAACTACTTCCTTAACCCTTAGCTACAGAGGTCACGTTTGTAGGACTTAACCACAGACTACCGGTCATTTTGACCGGTTGTCTTTTTTGAGTATACATGAACAACAAAATCTTATTTTTTTTTGCAGCATGCGGATTACCTCTTAGATCTTTCTAATTAGCATTTGATGTAGTTTTAACTATATTTGAATGAAATAAGAGTAGAGTATGGAAAAAATATTTTATTGCTATATTTTTGTTCAAGTGTAACAGAGTCATAAATAAAAATAAAATAAAAACGTATACAACCCTTTTTCGCACATAAATAATTTAAATAAACTATTCTGAATAAAATAACATCAAAGCAAAGCTAAAAACATTCTATATAAAAATATCTGCAAAGGGTAAACTATTAGCATATTTAGATGGAACATTCTTTGCAAATTCTCCTAGTACATTCCATGCATATTGGAGATTTACACATTATACAAACATGGAATGTTTTTCTATCCTTCTTCGAGAGACAACGTCTACACGTTGTGCTTGTATTCAGTTTATCACCTTCCATAGGATGTTCTTCTTGTCCCAATTGTAGTATGCGTCTTATAGATATTTTCATTTCACGAACAATACGCACATTTTGATATCGGCGTTGCATATGTGGAGTTACCAAAAGCATTGCTAACTGTTTTCCAAAATGATAGCGGTTTATTTCTGGATTATCTCGGTATGACTGATGTAGAATATATGAATTTACAGACGCTATATGTACCAATCTAAAAAAATGGCCATGGGCCATCGGCGAGTTCTACGACTTGAAGAATAAAGACTACACTTTTGGTCCAGGCTATCCACTCCACCTTTAGTAGTGCTGTAAAAACTGATAATTTCTGGCTTACCAGTCTCAACATCGGTATTTTTATTGTGGTGCATGGAGATAATTATTACTGCTCTATTTTTTTTAGGTACAAAAGATAACATGGTTGTATCAGTGGTAAATCCATAGATGCTGGAACCAATATCTCTTTTTCTATTTGGCAAAAATGTAGGAGGAATCTCACCTTTATTTTTAAGTCTTCCGACAAAAGTTAGATTTTTAGTTTTCAGAAAATTTACCAGCTCTTTTGAGGAAAACCAGTTACCGGCTGTAATATTTCTGTTTGTGTTATAAATAGGTTTGGCAAGTCCGAGTACCGCCTGAGTGGGTTTCGAGAATTTTCGTTCCTCATCTGTTAACAGATAGCCATCAGAATTCTTTCCAGAATATGTATAAGCATTCAAGACGTATCCAGTTCTGGCATCCGTTAGACACATAACTTTTAGATGTCATTGTAGATGTCATTTCTTTTAAGTCCCGGGCATTTAACAACAATGTTGTGTTGTAACGTGCGTGTATTCTTGGGAACTGGAGAATCCTTGCACCATTTAAAGCGATTCCTACCATAAACGTAGTTACCACTGGGAACATTTTCTGGATTTTCAATTTCACCTAGATTTTCGTTGTCCTCTTCGTCTAATATATATATATATATAGTCGCCATCTGATTCGATATCGCTTCCACCAGAATCGACTTCCTTTGCCCATTTCAGTAAAGTAGCTTCAAAATCAGCATCTCTATATTACTGTTCCATTCCTGATCCCAGAGTGACCGTTGTCTGCACCACTCAAGGCCATTACGTCGGTGTTCTCGAGTTAAAGGGAGGACCCAGTGTGGCCGGTATGAAAACAAGCCAAAACTTCTCATTCGTCGGTAAACACTTCGCATGCCAATAGGTCTTCCGTGTTCTGCAAACCATTCATTTGCAATGGACCTGGTAGTGGAGAAACGGTCCCTTAAGGCCAATAATCTTAGGCGGCGATCTTCACGGTCTGTTGTTCTACGGCGGCGTCCAGTGTCCCTTGCTCTTTGCGTACGGCCTTCTCGAAGCCATGCCTGACAACACCTAACCACAGTGTCTACACTTCTTTGCACTCTAACTGCAATTGCCCGAAAAGAAAGTCCAGCTTCCCGAAGTCCCACTATACGGCCCCTATCAAACTCACTAAGTTGAGGAAATCGTACAGGTCTCCGTACTCTAGGCATCGTAACCGATCGTAAAGGATGTCAAGAACCAAAATCCGCCAACGTTGATTCTTTACTGCGGCTAAAATATTCATTTTTAGAGCGTTAGTGAATTAAAAAAAAGCATTATAAAAACCGGAATGTCCAACTGATAAGGCTGAAAATTTTTTCACTTGTTATTTACAGTAAGATTCATTCATTCACCAACCTTTATTAAA